CTCCGGCAAGGAGACACGGGGCCAGAGGTTGAGCTGATGCGCAGCGTACCGGACCGCAAATAGCCACAGAAAGTGGGGGGGCAGCCGTATGGATCAACGAGGTATGGGCGACCTCCATGACCAGGCCAATGCGGCGCTCTGCAACCCCATTCTGCTGTGGAGAGGCCGGAAGCGTGAACGACTGCTCAATGCCGTGCTCAGCACAGTAGGCTGCCAAGAGGTCGAAGGAGAACTCACCACCTCTGTCAGAGTGCAAGCGCAGGACAGGAAAGTCCGAGTGGAAACGCTCGCTGAGCTGGAGACGGGCTCTGCGGATCCAAGGGATCAAGACATCAAGGACCTCACCCTTGGTGCGCAAGGGGAAGACCGAGGTGTAGCGCGAGTAGTCGTCAACAACTATCAGGAAGTACCTCTCCCGACCCTGACCACAGACGCGGGTTGGGCCCCACACGTCCATGTGGAGCGTCTGCAAGGTAGCAGTCGTCGGGGGAAACGAGGAGGAGTGAGGAGTGGCGCGCTGCCGTCCCTCGACACAGGGGAGACAGGTAGGAGCAGGTGAGGGAGGAGAAGGGAGAGCTCCTCCAGGTGTAGGACTCCCAGGCTCAGCACCTCCAGACTCAGAACCCCAAGACTCCGGACTCTGCGGCTCAGCACCCCGAAGCTCAGCACCCCCAAGCTCAGCACCCCCAGGCTCCGCACCCCCAGGCTCCGCAACCCCAGGCTCCGCACCCCCAGGCTCAACACCCCAAGTTCCGGCAACCCCAGGCTCAGCACCCCGAGGCTCAGCACCCCCAAGCTCAGCACCCCCAGCAGGACGAGAGTCGACAGCTACCTTAGCAGGCTCAACCGGGTCTACCTGAGACACACCTGACGGAGCGGCACCCTGAGGGGGGAGGGGGTCTACAACAGCAGCACTTGGCGCGAGGAAGAGAGGCGGGGGGGGGAGCGGGGCAGTGCGGTAGGGGAAGAGGCGGTAGTAGGGGACGGACTCGTCAAAAGTGACGTCCTGAGAGAGCAAGACTCGGCGCGAGGTGGCGTGGTAAAACTGCCAACCAGACGCGTCCGGGACAAAGCCGAGGAAGACGCAGGGAACAGCACGGGAGGAGAGCTTGTCCGCAAACGTATCGCGGACAAAAGCTGGAGATCCCCAGACTCGGAAACTCGACGCATCGCCAACCTCCCACGTCCACAACAGTGTGGGCGAGGTCTCCGGCAAGGAGACACGGGGCCAGAGGTTAAGCTGATGCGCAGCGTACCGGACCGCAAACGGCCACAAAAAATGGGGGGCAGCCGCATGGATCAAGGAGGTACGGGCGACCTCCATGACCAGGCCAATGCGGCGCTCCGCAACCCCATTCTGCTGTGGAGAGGCCGGAAGCGTGAACGACTGCTCAATGCCGTGCTCAGCACAGTAGGTCGCCAAGAGGTCGGAGGAGAACTCACCACCTCTGTCAAAGTGCAAGCGCAGGACAGGAAAGTCCGAGTGAAAACGCTCGCTGAGCTAGAGACGGGCTCTGCGGATCCAAGGGATCAAGACATCAGGGACCTCACCCTTGGTGCGCAAGGGGAAGACCGAGGTGTAGCGCGAGTAGTCGTCAACAACTATCAGGAAGTACCTCTCTTGACCCTGACCACGGACGCGGGCTGGGCCCCACACGGCCATGTGGAGCGTCTACAAGGGAGCAGTCGTCGGGGGAAACGAGGAGGAGTGAGGAGCGGCGCGCTGCTGTTCCTTGACACAGGGGAGACAGGTAGGAGCAGGTGAGGGTGGGAGGGGAGGAAGGACCCAAGGCAGGCCAGAGACAAGGTACCGGGAGTGCATGGCACGAAGCCGTTGCACACACGGGTGGCCAAGGCGGTGGTGCCAGAGGACAGTCTCGTGCGCCAGAGAGCGACACGAGCAGGGGGCCGACTGCTGACCTGACGCGGACACAGCAACCTGAGGGGACTCAGTGGTCAGTGTGTACAGGTCCGACCCCGGCTGCCGAGTGAAGGTAGCCAAGTGAGGGCCCGTACGAGCACACGTACAGTGTGTCACGCGCTCGTAGGCAGGAGTGAACTGGTGAACACCCTCGTCCTGGAGCGCCCATCCTGCCACCAAGCTCGTAGAGAACGAGGGGAGGTGGAGACCTGACAGTGTGCCCGACGGGACCGTAGGACAAGGAAGGACAGTGGAAGAGGTCGCAATGACCGGACCCCCAGAGGGGTCAGCAAGGGAGACAGCAACTGGCCGAGCAAGCGGCTCAAGGGCAGTGCGATCACGAAAGAAGCAGCGAGAAGCACCTGAGTCTAGTGTGAAGGTGTGCAGTGCTGCAGTCGACTCAGTACCAAGGGGGGCAGACGCGCAAGCACCTAGAGCAGCTGCCTCACCAGCACCTGGGGTAGCCGACACGCGAGTACCTGGAGCGGCAGACGCACTAGTCCTAATGCCCGGGTCGGGCGGCACACACAGGTACTCAGCACCCTCTCCACTAGTAGACTTCATATACATAGCAGATAGAATAGCATCAAAGTCTAGAGCATAGATATCAATCCCCTTCTTCAGGAGATCAATCCAGCGGGGCAGCTCAGAGGCCTGAGGGAACTGAACACGCCAAGCGTCGTCGAGACGAGCGAAGCAGCGCTGTGTGGCGTGAGGTCGTCCACACTGCTGACCAGTGCGGTCACCAGTGCAAATGACGTACGTGCAACTAAAGCCACCCCCCCCCCCGTGCAGAGAGTACCACTCACGGACCTCTTGGGGCGACGGAGTGTGCTGCTGGCCCTGGCCACCGCCAGCGCCTCCACGACCACCACCGCCGCCGCCACCTCCTCAACAACCCCAACCCCTGCCGCCGCCTCGACCACCGCCACCCCCACCACCGCCTCCGCCCCTGCCACCTCCCCCGCCGCTGCCGCCACCACCCCCAACGCTGCCACTAGCCCCTCCAGTCGCGCCACCACCCCCACCGCCTCCACCGCCCCCACGACCGCCTCCCCCGTCGTCACCGCCACCACCCTTGCCCCCTTTGCCCTTGCCGCTGCGGCGCCCGCTCGAAGCAGACGCAGTACCGACCTTCTCAGCACCAAGGAGGTCGGCAGCAGCAGCAGAGGCGATAGAGGGAAGAAGGGGGGAAGGAGAACACCCCTCAAAGAACGGGGTACGGGGTCGCCACAAGAGGCACGTACAGCGACTATGCTAGTCTCAGCTGCAAGCAGTTCCTTCTCGAGGAGGGCAATGGTGAGCTCAGTGGGGCAGCAAGCTAGGAAGTGGTCCCTGACAGCACGCAGTGTGTCAGGGAGGCGGGTGACTAGGTGGTAGAGAGTGAGCCAGAGTGGGGGGGGGTGCGTGGCAAGGAACTCAGCGGGCATGGGGGCACGGAAGCGGGCCTCACTAGTACGGAGGTGCGTGATGAGGTCAGCGACTGTGTGGAACGAGGCCAGGTCGGGAAACAGGTAGGGGAGGGAGAGACGGCCTAGCGCGGCAGAGGCAGGTGAGGAGTAGCGAGCAACGACAGCTGTGTACAGTGCCTGTGCAGTCTTGTGCTGGCCAAAGTGCTCGCGTTCGTCTATCGACAGGGAGTTGCGAATAGCAAAGCGAGCGTGGGCATCACGAGTCTGCCACTGTGAGCGAGCAGTGCTGTCAGCAGTAGCAGCAGGGGCAGTGACATGGCCTAGGGAGTGGTCGTATAGTGAGATGTCGTCCTTGGCTGTGAGCTGTAGATAGAGGTGCAGGTCATCTAGCCAGGTGTCAAACTTCACTGGGTGGCCCTCAGCATCGAAAACTAGAACCTGTGGGCTAGCCATAGGAGCAGTATAAGTAGCAGCAGTAGGAGGAGGAGGAAGCTGGTAGGGCGGCTCGGTTCAGGTAGGGCGGCGCGGCTCGGGTGGGGCGGCGCGGTTCGGATCGGGTCGCGCGGCTCGGCTTGGGTCGCGCGGCTCGGTTCGGTCCCGGGCTGTGGAGGTCACGGGCCGCTCGGGGCCTATAGGGGCGAGCATGGGGCCGTTCGGAGCCTATAGGGGTGGTGAGCGCGGGGCCGACGGGGCCGTTCGAGGCCTCTAGGGGCGGTGGGCGCGGGGCCGACGGGGCCATTCCGGGCCTCTAGGGAGGTGAGCGCGGGGCCTTAACGGGGCCTCTAGGGGCTGACGGGGCCTTTCGTGGCCGCTAGGGAGGTGAGCGCGGGGCCGTAAAGGGGCCTCTAGGGGCCGATGGGGCCGTTCGGGGCCTCTAGGAAGGTGAGCGCGGGGCCTACGGGGCCGTAAGGGGCCTCTAGGGAGGTGAGCGCGGGGTCAAAGGGGCCGTTCGGGGCCTCTAGGGAGGTAAGCGAGGGGCCGACGGGGCCGTTAGGGGCGATCGCGGGGCCGAAAGGGGCCGCTAGGGGTGAGCGCGTGGGCCGTTCGGGGCCTCTAGGGGCGGGCCGACGGGGCCTTAGAGGGCAGTGAAAACCGAGGCACCCTAGGGCGCAGGTAGGTAGGTAGGTAGGTAGGTAGTGGTGGGCCCTAAAAAAAATCGGTCCTAGGAAGGACTTGCTCTATACCATGTTGAAATAAACGAACAGGGATGATTGAACTAATAGTGAAATCAGTACAAGTACCTAACCCTAGAATTGTGTACCCCCTATAGGCTAACCCACTGTAGCCTAAACAAGCACAACATATATAATGTTTGACAATGAGTAGGTTTCACTCGCCGTTGCTAAGGAGGGCAACAGCAAAGGAGCTTCAGCGGCGCCGCAAGTATTTCAGGAAGTGGATTATGAGAGCTTACCTGCGAAGCAACCGTGCAGCTACTGTTGGAACTCAGCATCCTCGCCGTTAGTGGGACCCATGTCGGTAGGAGCGGCGGTCTCTTACGAGCTTGGGTTGTTGGTGTAATCCATGTTACAGGTTTCCGGGCTGGTCGAATCACCATGGTCTAGGGTCACAGTGGGAGTGGTAGGGTCATCTTGTCCCATATTTGCCGCTGCCGCCTCTGGAGCCACTGAAGCCGCCGCCACAGCATTCATGATGAGAGCAGTAATCTAGTCCAGCTTAGCAAGGCCTTCCTGGTTACATGCCTTCAGGGTGTCCGCGACGAGCTTCGCCCCAGTCATGGTCGCACTTTCTGCCACGCGCTTGCTACGAATCGGCTGCGGATTTTGCTCTTGAGTAGGGGGGGGGTGGGGCTGTAGGTAAAGGGGTGACAAGCACAGAGGAACCTTAGGCATGGGATTTTAGATGGTCCGAATCTTAGCATGGTTATTTTGCTGTTTCGGGATTGATGGAATCAGTGGCAAAGTGACTAATGATACTTGGAGAATGTAGGATATCTTCAATGTTGGAATGCATCAAGGAAGTATTTAAGCACAAAACATGAGACAAAGGCGAACTAAATTGTTGTATCATGTGCGGATATAGAAACTTACCCCTACTAGCTCACCTCGAACCACGGGCACTTGCTGAGTAGCTGTCGCAATGGATGGAGGCTCCATGGTCGCGTTAGGATCAGCATGGTCCTTGACGGCGCCACCCCCATCCACAACATGGGGGTCAACGGCAGCAGATCCTGCCCTCAGATCTTCCATATAGGTAAACCACGGCGGCCTGACGATGTTGGCGTTGCCTGACACGTTCAAAGCATCGTTGATCTCCTTGAATTCGCGCTCCATCCGCTTCCACTGCTGCTTAATGGCCTCCGATTTGCGAACCCAATTCTTGTTCGCCTTGCGGATGTGCCTACAGAGCTTCTTCCAATACTGTGCCCCCTGTTTCCCTTGCATTGCCTTCAAATCTTCACGCGCGAACCAACGAGCGGTGGCCATCTTTGTCATCTCGAATTCTCACCAGACCTTGCGTTTCTTCTTAGGACGCTCCCCTCCACGCTTCGGGGCGGAAGTTCCGATGTCATCCGCAGCCACAGGTCCTTCGTCCGCGATTTCGTTGTCCTCGTCGGCTCCATCGAAATCGTTTTCTGGTGTGTCGAGCGAAGCGTCGGAATCCGCCTCGCTGTCGCTACTTTCAAACGCGTCAAACTCCTTCCGATCAAAAGACGAGGAGGCTTCATTGTCCTCAGCCGGAGCCTTGCTTGGCTGATTGTCCGGGTCGCCGAAGGGTTCCCCGTCACGAGTCTCAGCACACTCGCTGCGAAGGCGTCCCCGTCGATCTCCTTCCGCCTGGCGCTTCTTCATCCAGGCAACATACGGATGGTCCACCACGGGAGCGTCACTGCCAGATGCCATACCCTTCTTAGAAGCTTTGCTGAGTCTACGCTTAGGAGCCATGGTAAAGTGGCAGGAGTGGGAAAGGGAGACTAAGCAACGAGTGGATGAGATTGTTGTAGAGAGAGTGATATGATGGTATGGCTTTTGACGGTTGTGTTTGTAGTAGTCTTGGTGCTGGTGTCGTGGCGCGATCTACATTTCTGCTCGCCTCGAGGAGAAGTCCTCGCGAGATCTACAACTCTGCTCAAGTTTAGGAGAACGAACGGATCTCAAGATACGCACCATTTTCCATGGTCGCTAGACATGGGACAAAGTGGTGGTGCAGTAGTGGCGGGATTTTCTTCTATTTCTAGAGCCATGAATCCCTGAATCGTCAGATCCGCCACAAATGTGAAGTGGTTGTGTGATGAGAAAGAATGCAGAAGAGCAGCAGTGGCGGAAATGTCTGCAGGTAGAAAGGTTGAGAAGCAACACAAAATCTGAGCGACCACATTGTGAGGTGGTTGTTTGCTAGGAAGAGCGTGCAAGAATTCAGCAGTGGCGGGAGAAAACGATATGGAAAATTGACGCGCCCAAATTTCTGACATTGACGTTTGGTAAATTTTATAACCCCATGGGCTAAATACATGGCACTTCAAATTTTATAATTTTTGTTTGAAACAATTGACTTAAGCACCTCTGTTGTGTCGAAACACTAAGTCATAAGCGAAGCAGAACATATCGAAGCATCGGCGAGTCAACCCTCGGAGGTTGAGCAACTGCTGGGGGTTACGCGAAAGTCAAAGGTCAGCGACCTTTGACCTGACAAATACAGCGCGACAGCAAGGACAAACAACTGACTCGTTATTGAGCAGTTGCCCGAGTCGTTATTGTATCGAACCGCAACACCAACAGCAAAACAGTTATTAGTTATAACTCTTCGTATTCCCTTGTATTCTTATAAAAGCTTCTATCCTTTATTTTAATCAATCGACTTTGCCCTCACATACTAGCGCAAGGTGGTTCACAAGCTTATCATTAAACACTTCCGCTATTGCATAAATTCTACTCAGAATTTAGTCTTGCAAAGATCCTAAGGGCTTTTCTTAGCCCAACATGGTATGAGAGCAATCAGGACAAATTCAACTACAATCAAGACACCTACAATATCACAAGGCGTGGCAACGCAGAAGGAGAGAAGCCCCTCTAACGGCTCTCCCGGTACTACTCCTACTCCACCTCCTACCTCTGGCCTACAGACAGAGGAGGGTACAGCAACAAGACCGGCAGCAGGGTCTACCGAAACTCCCGCAAATCAAGCCGCGACCTTCGACCCAGACATGATGGAGACATTCTTCTCCTTCATGTCCTTCTACAAACAACACCAGCAAGGGGCACCTGCGCAATCAAACAACAGCAACAGCAACAACAACAACAACGCAACACCAATGAGCCTCGACGGTTCATCCTACACATGAGGAAATCAGCAACAGCAACCTACCTTCGCCCCGTACGAACCTCAGCGTGGTTTCGTCAGCTTCATGCCGCGCCAGCAACCGTCACCTGAGCAAGAGAAGACATTAGATGCACTTCAAGTTCAGTCACAGTTTGCACGCGTTTTAAAACTCCAGACGTCAAGACCGTTCGACGGAAAGGACTTCTTTACCTGGTCATTCGAATTCGAACTGATGATGGAAGGCGCGCAGATTCTTGGCTTCTTCGACGGGTCCCTGCCATGTCAAACTCATATGCTATAGTCTGTGTCGGCTGTAGTGGGGTAGACAATATGGGGTACAACACTTTTACGCTTTTCATACTTGTACCCACCTGCTTGGTAGTTTATTCATTCCTCGTTATTCCACATGCCATATCCAACGCAGGGAACGCAATAGGACAAGCAGCAGTATACGTATCAATCAATGATGGCGTATACAATCCTACTGCGCAAAGTCACAACGAACCAGCAGCAGACAATTCGGTCTTACCGAGGATAGGGAAACTCCACCGAGCTCGCGTACAACCACCTAAAGAACCTGTATCAGGCAACAGACAGCATCAATCAGAGTTGGTTAATGGCACAACTGTCAACAGTGGAAATGAAACCGGGCGAAAAAGGGATGGCGTATATCAGCCGCTGTCGCAAATTGTGCGACAAACTCCTTCAATGCGGAGGGTCAATATTAGAAGACGCCTTCGTCATAGTTGTCATTGGCGGTCTTGGTCCTCATTGACGCTCTACTCGCGCCATACTCCGAGCTCACGGGAAGATCTCTGAAGCAGCATTATGCGCCGAAATTCACGCTGAGCAGCAAGACATGGACCTACAAGAAGAAAAACACAAGAGGAAGACGTCAGTGCCTGAGTTCACTTTCCACACTCAACGGCGCTACAACAACAACAACCATCGGTAAAACAAGTACCAAGGTCAACAACCCGTACCTCCGTTCTGTCATCTCTGCAAGACGTCAGGCCATCCCCGCACACACTGGCCTAACCGGCAGCAGTCAGCACCAACGGAGCGGCAGCTCCGACCTTCAAGCAGTCAAGTCGCTTCAGCGCAAGCAAATTCCACCACTCAAGTTCAAACGTCAACAATGTCGACTGGACAACCTGCACAAGGAACAAGGAACATCGTTAGCTGCATGGCAAGATTGACCAACTCCTACATCACTGAATTGCCGCCGCACTACTCACCAGAAGAACAACTCGACGAAAGGACTCTACGTCGAGAGTCGCTGCAACCGGACCCAACGTACGCAGCCATCGCCCAAAGCAAACCGTCTGGGAAGGATACCTGGTTCTTGGACAGTTGCTGCGGACAACACATGTGCTATTCAGGTCGCTTCGTTCAATGAGAATACCAGCTCCAGCAGGAAATCGTCATCACTGTCGCGAACAACCAGAGCCTGCGCACACGACGACAAGGCGTAGTTCAACTTCAGTCACAAGAAACAAACGTCATACTGCAGATGTCGAAGGTTTTAATAGCAGAAGGACTCGGCTACAACTTACTAAGCGTCAACCAACTGATGGCGAAGGGCATACTGTGAAAGTTTAGAAGGAAGAAGAGGGTTTGCACTAGCAAGAATGAGGATAGAAATAGCAAACCCTAGAAGGGTTGTACTCGCTATAGAGCACCCCACTACAGGCTAGAGCATAATATTCTGACACACCCCCATAGCCAAAGTGGGGTGTAATCAGCAGAGCAAGCAAAGCAGTACAAGCTCAGGGTGGATCACAATGTCACCACACATTGTGAGCACAAGTTCAAGAAGCAATAGTTTAAGTTCACAATTATGAGCAAAGCTAGAGGCTATCGCAGAGGGCATGTGTGGAGGAGGAGGGACTATGGGGGAGAGAAGATGGGAGGCGTCTGCTGACGCTGCAGACACACAGACGAGCTGCTGGCTCAGTGGCTACCGGAACAGCGCTCCGGACTACTGGAGTAACTGGCCCCGCGGCTAAAGTAGCGGCAGACGAGCAACGGACCCACGGGCGACTGGCGACTACCGGAGATTGTAGCCTCCGGTCTGCTGCTGCTGCTGACGACAAGACTGCTGCCTCCACTCAACCTCCCCCAGCTGCCCAACGCCCCTCTCATACGCCCACTGCTACACCCCTAGCTCCACTCCCCCTTCACCCCCCCTGAGTACCACTCCACCGGCTCCAACAAGTCCACCCCCCCTCAGCGGTAGCTGCAGCACAAGGAGACGGAGGAGGAGGAGGAGCAAGGGAGACCACACACCCGCCACCCCCCAGGTCGCCCCTCAGGTTGCCTCGACAGGCGACGGGAAAAAGGGGGGGGGGAGGGGGGGGGGGGGGGGGCGGTGCCGTAGGTAGGGCGACGGGCCCGAGCCGTAGGTAGGGCGACGGGGCCGGGGCCAGGGCCGCAGGTAGGGTCGCTCGAGCCGCGCGCAGGCGGCCTAAGCCGCGCGCGGGCCTGGCGCCGCCCGTACAGACCGCGCGCGGGCCTGGCGCCGCCCGTACAGGCCGCGCGCGGGCCTGGCGCAGCCCGTACGGGTGGTGCGCGGGCCTGGCGCAGCCCGTACGGGCCGCGCGCTGCCTGTACGGGCCGCGCGCAAGCCAGGTGCAGCCCGTACGGGCCGCGCGCTGCCTGTACGGGCCGCGCTCAGGCCAGGACGGGGCCGAAGCCCGCCGTGCGCCTCGGGGCGCACAGCGGGCAGAAAACCGCCGCGCGCCTCGGGGCGCACGGCGGGCAGAAAACCGCCGAGCGCCTCGGGGCGCACGGCGGGAAGAAAAACTGCCACACGCCACTGGGCGTGCGGCACCGAGTGTAGTGGTAGTAGTTGCAGCGGAAGCAAGGAGGTGGTAAGCCCACCCACAGGATCGATCCAATGGGGATCGACCTGCTCTGATACCATGTGAAAGTTTAGAAGGAAGAAGAGGGTTTGCACTAACAAGAATGAGGATAGAAATAGCAAACCCTAGAAGGGTTGTACTCGCTATAAAGCACCCCACTACAGGCTAGAGCATAATATTCTGACAGATACACCTCGAAGCGGACAGCACCACTCAGGAGTTTAAGTAATACCACAGGAAGGGCAGTCTCTACATCAGGAAGGCAGTCCTGAAAAATAACGTCTTCGTCCTCGACTTCGTCCCAGGTCTCGGCACCGCTGACAGCGACGAGATAGTCACCTTCACCTCCTGGACACATCCATCGGATCTCGACCCCGACTTTAGTCCCAATGGCTTCTGGCACTAGCACACTATCCCTGAGGCAGAACAAACAAGAGCATTAGCAATGATTCAACACTCAGCAGCAGCAGAGACAACATCGACAGCAGCAGAGACAACACCGGCAGCAGCAGAGACAACATCAACACCAGCAGAAACAACGATAGCAGCAGCGGCAATATCGACACCAGTCGCTGGTCCTTCAACGGCACCAATCTTTGTCAACGACACACCACCGACACCCGCACAACAGCTAAACCCGGCACCACGAGAAGTTCACCGAAGCGCCAACTTCACTACTAGCTTCTACTCCGACTCCGACATGTATCGCTGCTCACCCGGACATCGCACCACCGAAGGAACCTGGCACGCAAGAATGGGAC